AGCTGATAAGCAGTGTCAGCATGTTTATTTATTTCTCTTGTGGCTTGGATACTTTCGTATTTACAGAACAAGACAAACCCAAATTATATATTAACATTTATTTAGCTACAAAAATAAGCTCTTTGCACCCAATGACCTGTTCCTTTCTCCACCCTCAGACAGAAACCTCACCCAGCATAAAACTCAAGTACATTGTCCTGTCAATCTAACACAGCCTTGCTGGGTTGAGACAGGATTTGCTGGCCAAAAGCTGGACTCTCAGATATTAATTCTTTTGGTTCCCTAATGGGCAGATCCAGTAAGGACACCCTGCTTGGCCTCTGCTGCTCTAACACAGAGAAGGGTTCTTGAAGGCAGAACRGGTTGGAACCTGAAGGTTTCTTAGGTGGAAGTCAGTAATTGAACTGCATCAGTTACAGAATGAGAAGCAGTGAATTTTATGGGTCCTAACTGGCTGCAGCCAACCTGTATTTGTCATACAGGGCTTTATTGCCATCCACAGACTGCGTGTCTCTGCTGAGATCAGGCTCCCCAGCAGACAAGGTGTGGTACCAAGGCACACTGAGTGACAGGCAGTGGTCCAAAGACCTCGCAGTCCTAACATATAGATGACAAGAAGAATACATTTTTATCTCCATGCTACAGACAGAGGAGAAAGTACTAGCAGAAAGTACCTCCAGTTTGTATACAGCAGCTCAAGATCCTCAGCTTCCTGATAAAAGTTGTTAAAACTGCGTTATTTCCATGTTGTCAAAAATCATTATTTGGCAGGCAAAGGCAGCATAACGTGGCACTGCCTTGAGCGAGCACACTTCTTATCCAGACTTATCAGATCTGTGCTAGGTGAATATGGCTAGATTGCTTCCAGACTGAGGAGGGTGATTACTTAGCCACTTCCATTCTCTCCGTTTCAACTTCTTTGAATTTCTTTGCATTAGACTTAGCACAGTCAAGGCAGCATCTGGATACACTCTGAAAGATCTGTACATCACTGTGACAATGGTCTATGATAAACTAGAATGCGATCCTATATCTTCTGCCTGGTTTCTAAAAGCAACTTTTCAAGTTGGCCTTCATTGGAGAGGCACATGTATTCCAGAGCTAATGGGTGTGAAYATACATTCCCATGCATGCAGTTAGTTCACCATTAACTTGTTTCAGTCAGAGAGATTTAAGTTCCTTCCTGGCAATAGTTGGGCAATAAAAATGTAATATTTATTTAACAATCACCATAGTACTACCAAATTATATGAATTCATTTAAAATGTCAACATCATCTATCACCACATAAGTCACTCAAACCAGATCCAAAGAGAAGAAGAAACAATCTCAGATAAAAGTTATTTTTTTTCCTCTAAGTTTACAGTCTTTCCAGAAATCTCTGGAAATTTATTAGATTATAATTTCCAGAATCTTTTATATAGTATCTTTCATCTTGATACATCTCAGAATATATGTCTTCCATAAGAAGACTGGTTCTTATGCAGATATTTCAGGAATGGCTTATGATTTGGGATGGTTCTGTGATAAGGGCCCTACCTTGAGATACCTGGAAACGCTGAAAATATTTCTCATGCCTGAAGTGCTCCATCCAGGCCTTTAAATTTTAATGACTACAGGGCCTCTGTTCTACCCCTACTCCATTAAATCTAACATTATTTTTTTTTATTCCCTACTGGAAAGGTTATTATTATGTCTGTGAGTTTTCATTTCCAGTATGCTCTAAGTCACGCAATGTCAAAGAGCAGCATTGAAGACGGTAACGCTCCTGTGAAGGATTCCTTTAAACTTTGTACTTTGTATAACCACAATCTAAGGCAATTAAAGAACATGATTTGGGGCATATCTACACATGCAACGTAATGCAGAGATTCCAAGCCTACCACTGATTCATCCAGAAGCTCCTCTGACTCAAAGTACCCATTAAAAAAAAAAATATATATATATATATAGAGAGAGAGAGAGAGAGAGAGAGATTGGAATCAAATTCCAGACTGTGAGCTATGATAATGTGCATCTTTTGGTCTCTTTAAGCATCAGGAAAAAAAAAATCAGCCGATATACCTAGGTATACATTTTAAATGGCAGCTTCTTCTTGTTCCTAGACAGGCTGCCTGAAAGACCAATAGAGATACTTAATGGAAATAGAAAGACTTCTATTTTAAAGAGCTTTTCTGATTAGAATAAGCTTGTCTTGTTTAGCTTGAAATGCCCTTGAAAAATTTTGTTTCTCACAGGCCATCAAGAGGTCAGTTCCTAAATACTTGTAAAATGAGGCATCAAAAAGACTAATTACTTGTCAAAATCTGAGCCATTAAAACCAGAATTCTCTGCTGCTGTGTTCAGTTGCTTATGGTGCAGCAAATCAAAAGAGCTTGGGCCAATACTTTCCATGAAGCTATGAGCCTCAAGTTGGGAAGCATAAATTGTGGCTGCTCAGAAGATCCTACTTGTGCATTTTAAAAATCACAGAATGGTTGGCATCGGAAGGTTGGAAGACAATCTCTAGAAATCATCTAGTCCAATCCCTGTGCCCAAGCAGGGACACCTAGAATRTGTGGCACAGGGTTGCATCTGGGCGGGTTGTGACATCTCCAAATCAGTCTTTACCCTCACCCTACTGCCACTCAGTAGATATTCAGGAGAGTACATGGCAAGATCACTTACAGTTTGACTTTATGTGCCTTCTACTGTCTGTTTAGACAGACTCCAAGGACAGACATCTGGATGGTATTGACAGAAATGACCTTGCTATGAAGTAGGGACAGCAACAGCTCTCAAACACTACAGGAGATGTCCTAAACAAGGACCATATTATCTTTCCAATTGCATAACTCGGAAAAATTCTACCTCCTTTCAATAATATTTCACAAAAATATTGAAAAAGTTTTGGGAAATGTAGAGCAAATTAAGGGCATTTCTTTGTAACCTCCAAGACTTTCAATAATCTATGAGATTCTGATAATTTTATCACTCCTAACCTGTCTTTTTACTCCATTAYCCTGAGGCCTACTCCCCCTCTTTAACCTCAGGCCTCAGACTGAGCTAAAGGCTCAGGACGTCCAAGTGTGTTTCAAGCCTTGACTAGGCTCACTGTGGGCTCAACGCAGGCCTGACCGAAGACATTTTTTGCATGTTTCATATAACCAGATCTGGATGGCAAACAATTGGCCTCAACCTTGGCATTGTGGCCTTGCCACAAGGCAGGAGGCAAGAGCAAAAATCACCACAGCTATAGGTTTAACCTAAACCTTGAACCCTTCCCTTGCTTTTCAGGCCTATACGATCATTAACCCCAAACATTAAAATTGAGGGGGATAACAAGCACAGTGCTTCTCTGTCTGTTCATCTGCATGGTACCCAAGCCGCTGACAGCGTTACGTAACYACCGAGGCGAAATAACTTGCCAAGGGTTGCTCGGTTGGCCAGTAGTGGAATAAATAGTGACTACCCTACCCACTGGAGCATGCTGCCTTGCTGATGTGTACCAAAGCTCGCTCCTCTGAGCCCTGGGTGCGGTAAAAACGGAGTTTGAACTTCAGGAAGCAATCGCATCCAAGTTCCTGACAAGCTGAGTGAGCACCACGGATCACAGTAAGTTCACTCACTGGAAATGAAACTAAGCAGCACGAAAGGAAACTTGCCGTCCCACTAATATCGACTCATCACCTATGGCTCAGCAAGGTGGTGCCCTGCTGAAGAAATACTAGAAAAAACAACCGAACCCCAGTCTAATRTGGATAAAACAGTTTCACTCACAGGAGCTTTGAGTTTGCCAGTTGGCACAGACTTCTGACAGGTGGTTCAGTTACGGAGAAGAAAGGAACACAACCAAACTCTTCAGTAACCATCGCTCTTCCCCGTCCGCGCTCAGCGAGGCCAAGCGCCTCTGTTCCCGAGGTGCCCCTTGCCCCTCTGCCTCGGGCGCAGCTCTGCTCACCCGCTCACAAGTCCCGGCTGCCACCGGGCAGTTCCAAGGGGGCTCGGGCCGGCTGGGAGCGACTGGAACTGGTTCCGAACAGTTGCAGGCAGCTCTGGGCCTCTTCCGCCCCGTGTGTGTTGCTTGTCCCTGAGCGCTGCCAGGGGCTTCCTGCTGCCCTGACGCGCCCCGGCTGGGCTCCATCGGGGCAGGCCCCATCAAGGCGGRCAGGCCCCAGGGCAGCCAGGCTGCCCCAGTAAAGCCTATCCATGCCCTAGCATTATGCCCAGGCCAGAGGCTCCAGCTTTTAATCCCAGCTGCTGTCGTTCATGCCTTGAACCACCCACTACCCAGTTCGCTGATAGGCACAAGTGAATAACATAAYGGTGACACAAGGCTGGCAGCACCAGCGATTTACCAAAGCGAATCCCCACAGCCGTATACTATCACCTCACTGATAGCACACTCACTTTTAGACCAGCCAGGGAACCCTGGCAGTCTCTCAGCTGGAAGAAACCTCACCAGTCCTTACACTCTTCAGTGCACAGTTTTTAGCTTAGTGATTTGCTTTCCTTCTCTGGAGATATTCAAATCTGAGCATGGCTTAAGCATCGTCTCCCTACTCGGACATCCACATTTCCCCTACCCTCCCACTCTTCCTCTCTGGTGCTTTACTCAGGTGAATGTTCTTTTCTCTGGCCTAAGGTGCTAACTAAATTAATTAAAGTAAATTAAATCACAATTGGGTCAGAAAGGTAGATTGACATGTGAAGAGTGGGGGAGATTAAGGTTAAAGAGCTCATTTTGCTGAACAGACTTTCCAGATATATGTAAGGCTTTCTTTCCCTTCCACTCTCTGATCCCCTGTGACCTCTGACAAATCCTCTAATTACACACTGCTCCTCCCTGGGAAGCGGGAACACACCTGTATCTTTGAAACCTAGACAAGGTGAAGCTGTTTGAGAAATAAGGAGCAAACCCTCAGCTGGTAGCTTGGGCATGTGTCTTCACTAAGTGAGTGGAATTAGGGTGATTTATTACCCCCTAAGCCTTTGAGCATACTAGTCTGGAAACTTTCTTTTGGCTGGCTGCATGCAAAGAYAGCCTAGAGCAGTGCTTTACAGTCCTCTAGTTGCTTAGAAGATTTTTCTAAGCATATTATCATATTATTTTCTTCATTTTATTATCCTCCTGGATTTATATGTTAACAATAAGGCAACTGAACTGTGGGATGGAATGAAAGCTATTTTCCTCAGTAAGATGTTAACTGATTATTATACCTAATTTTTCTTTTCTTTATTTCTATACAGCTTTTCTCACAAATTATCCTTTGCTCTCCTCCTTGTAGAGCAGCTCTGAATAAAAAGTAGAAAATTCCMAGTACTTGGGAGCACCATACACTCCAGGCTCGTTTAGAACTACAGCAACAATTTACAGGTTTGTCTTTCTTGAAAGCCCTATGCTTACAACATTAATAGGGTGAAGAGAATTGTTTCTCCTTCTATTGCTTTCACTGTATTCAGAGGTTTATGAAGCATTGCTAATTCTCTCATTTTGATTCTTGTCGTGTTAAATTATTATTACAAACCTTAGCTGGTGGAATTAGGTGGATGCTTTTTAACTCACAGCTGGTGTTTTGCTTAAGAATGGACAAGGGAGAGAAGCATTTTATTTCTTTGAAAACCTGACTTCATAACCAGRCAGTGATCTAGAGGTTGAGAGCTCTGAGGGAAATGAATAAAAAGCAGATATGAACTTTGTGATTGCTGGGCAAGTCACAAGATAATTTCTAAAGCCTTATGTGCATTTTCAACTATTACAGTTATATGTCCTTCTTATGGTACAGATGTGTTGTTTATCATCCAGATAAAGCTTGTTCTTTCTCATTTGGTTTGGCTATCAAAAGAAGGTATTTTTTTAATGTATTCTGTTAGTTCTGGTTACAGAGTATGTATAGGCATTTCTGCATGCATTTCTGAATGCAAGTTTTTTCCAATTATATAAAAATATTTTTACAATGAGGGTGAGAAAACACAGGTATCAGCGAGTTGACCAAAAAGGCTGTAGGGTCTCCAAGCAGGAGCATGTTCACATATTTGGTTGGAAAAGGCCCAGACTCACTTGGTGTAACTTTGAAGTTACACATGCTTTAAGGAGGAGCTGGACCAAATAAGTTCCATAAGTCCTTCAACCCTAAATTACTGTGTGTTTCTGACTTCATATGCATTACAATGGGCTTGTCTAGCTTGGGATGTTGGCTGGTACAATTACAATCAAAACACTGCTCCAGTTTTGCTTGTACAGTTAGATATATGGGTATGGTATCCTGAAGTAAAGCTATATTCTGAGGTTAGTGATCTGCTTTGGAAGTATGGTGTTGCCACTCCTTTTCCTTTGGCACAAGAAAGGAGGGGAGAGGGAAGAYTTTATGTGGAAGATCACACCTATTTGTAACAAGGCGTTGCTGCAGAGATCCAATGAAAGYGTTTTCCATCTCTGCATTGTAAATGCTGTTTAAATAGCAACATTCAGCTCTCAGGGATCATAGATGATTTTAGTATAATGGCAATATTTTTTATCTTTATGAATCATGTTAATAGTCTCTCATCTCATTACTCATATCTAAGAGAAATCAGTGATGTTCTGCCAGAACTGAATGTCTAATATACCACAGACTTTGTTGGCAAAAGCTTCAGCATCCCCCTTTACAAGAACTATCATTTCCTCGGTTGCTTTGTTGCCCCTTTCTATCTACTTTATTCTGATATAACATATCTAGAGTCCCGTTTTCTTCCTTCTGTGTCCACATCCTGTCCTGATGGCACTGCTTCTTAGCAAATCATATCATGTTTAGAGACAGAAAGATCATCTTTTAATTTAGATCATAAAGGTAAGGTACATCCATGTATCCTGTTAAAGGGAAGGTACATGCATGTATTCTGTTCGATAATCAGCATTTACTTCATGGCAATGTGAAGCTCTAGCTTAGTAGCTCTTTATCTCTTGTTTTTTGTCTGGATTTGATTATCCTGTGATTTTTTTTCAGAGTCAGTGGCAAAAGGAGAAGCTTGAAGTTCTAGAACGTATGAAGTCTGTATTTTGACCAGAACCCAATTCAAGCCATTTTATCTTGATCAAAATACAATGATGATTTCTATAATGTCACACTTTGAGTTGGCTCTTACAGAAAATACTGCCTTGCAGTTTTTGGTTTCCAGAGGAGTAGATCACGGTCATAAACTAAAAACATCATCCTGTGGTTAGCTGTGCTTGCTAAGCTTTGTTCACACAAATTTTTACATATACAGAAGTATGCAAACACACCCAGATGTCACTAGAGTTTAAATGCTTTGCTGATGAGAAACTTTGCTTACCTCCTGAGATATAAGCCTTGCTTTCTTGCATAGCTCAAAATTCAAACAATGTTTTATAAAAGCAGTTGTCTCCAAAGCAAACAGCAGAATGCTGATCACTCACTCTGAACCAGTCAATGACACAAGTAGTCACCATTTCTGKTTAGCTCATTTCAGATGTGGAAACTGTAGGACAAAGTGCAAATAGCAGTGCATTTCACAAGCTCCATGCTTTGCTGGAGCTCTAAGTGCGTTTAGTTTGTGATTTGGGCACAGACTGAGCAGCAGCTTAACTCTCCAGTTTCCCTGTACAATAAAAAGCAGTAGAAGTTGCCAAAGTTTGTGAAATTAGCTTTTTTTTTTTTTTTTTTTCAGCTGAGCTTGGGCATCTCTCAGTGGATTTTCCTGAAGACTAGACAGTGACACCTGTGGTATAGATAATGGTGAACAGCATATTATTCCAACAGTTCTGGGCAATGCAGGATTTAGCTCTGCAAAAGCCATATGAATAGGTGTGGATTACTTTTTGCTTTTCTTAAAGTAATTAGTAGATCTGAACATATTTAAATAAAAGTGTGGGTTTTTTTCCCTTAATTTTTGGGGGAAGCAACTGCAGTAAACAACTATAATTTTATTTCAGGAGCCATTGGAAACTCAGGAGGCTCTCTTACAGTAGGAAGTGACTGTACCTTAGGACCTGAGAGGAAGCAGCCTTATCCAAGAGATAAGGGATGGGAGAAGTTGCCCTTCCTGCAGCGACTAGGAAGAGGTAAGAAGTTTGCTCAGGGCCTGAGGAATGGGATTGGAAGTCAAAGAGCTGCACCAATTTGCCTGGGACTAGCAGAAAAGATCAGCCAAGCRTGCACAGCTGTTTAGATCAGAGTTCATGTAAGGGAAAGGCTTTCTGGTACTGGGGTACTGAGGAGAGAAGAAACAACGCAGGCTTGATGGATTTCAAAGGAGTTGCAGTAGTGAGCAGAAAGTTCATATGSATCTCAGGATTCCTTAAGCCAGACTGCAAACCTGAATATTAGGTAGACCCTCATCTGTAATATGAGTTTTGCCAAGATAATGAGTCAAGAGCCTCCTCTCATTTACACTAGAATAATTCAGGACCAGCACCCCAATCTTTAGAGCAGAATGGAATTAAAACAATGCAAGGGCAGAACTGGACCTTGGCAGTAATCTGAAGCTTTTATGAATGTAGTTAACTTGGTTTTATGAACCCTTTGCTGGAAAATAGAATTGTGCCTCTGAAAGAAAGTGCTATGGGAGAATGGACTCTGTGTACCACAGGTGTGCTATATATTTCAAATCTCACACAATAAATGTAAAATACATCAAGGTGCAGATATGAAGACTGTTGAACTCCAGAGAGACAAAGGCAGTTAGTTAAACTGTCATAAACCAAAAAGAATGTCCCTACACAAAGAAGGCAGTTTGAAGAGTTAAATCACAGCAGTTTCTTCCTGTCAGAGATCTGTTTCCCAATACATATTTCAAAATGCCTTTTTATATCTCATCTATTATTAAAAGACAGACTTACAGAAATGCCTGGACTTATATAAACTGTCTTAACTGAAGATTTTACTAATCTCATGGAAAAAAGAAATCTGTTATCATATCAAGTAGGGAGAAAGTTGCATTCTCCTCCGCATGGGAATTGAAATACATTGTGAATATATCTCAATTCAAAAGTAAGAAAGCGYTTCATAGTTATAACTTCAGTAATCCACTACTTATATAGTACTCATTTTAAGCACCTAACACACTTGTGAATGTTACCTTAGCAATGTATTTCTTCTAGCATTTGGATGAAGGCAAATACTGCCAAAGCTTTGGAGTTTGGAAATCTTTCTGTAGAGAAATGACGGCTGAGAATGCTGACCAAAAAACTACTACCTTTTCCTTTCTGTTAGCTCTGTAGAAAGGGAATTAAATTTTAATCTCGCACTTGCACTTCAATATAATTCTACATTCAAAATTATAATGGCTGTCAGATCAGGAAGAAAGCTTGAATTTCAAATCTAAGCTTTAGTACACAGAGCCAACAGTTAGGAAAACAAACTCGGCTTGTGCTCTTCTGAGCATAGGTACACTTTACTCATCAAAAAAACATCAATTTATTTTCTAGCAACAGATTTTTTTGTGTACTTCCTCCTCAGCCTATCAAAGCATGTTGCTCAACAGAGCAAAGGTGGGATTAATTGCACTGCTGTATAATCTAAATTCGTCTGATTATGGATTTATGGGTGTTGATGGTCTGTTTCATAACTCCTTATAGCACGTTTATTAGAGCAGTGATTTGAGGGTAGCTGCAGCAGGAGTCTGTCACAGGCAGTTTTCTGAAGGAATAAGAGCAAAATCTGGCAATTTCTTCTCATATATGACACCAATGGAGGCAAAGAGGAGCCCAAAAAGCACTAGGAATTCCAGAATCTGATTGTGACCYAGGTGTTGTGCTACCAGCTCCAATTCGCTCTTTCCTTTGGACATTGGAGGAAATTATTACTTAAATGGGAAGAGACAATAAAATTACAGGGTTCCTTCTACCCACTCAAGTTGCCTCAGTTTAACAAAAATTATTTCAAAACCCAATGTAGTTAAACTTATGCCAAGCCCAGTAAGGTTCATTTATATTGTCTAAGAATCAGATAAAGATGTTTAAATAATTCATACATGTTTACTAAATTGGGTATATTCAAAATTAAGAGAAATTGCACAGGATTTTGCCCTTAAAAACGGACATTTAGTTTAAAATTTCTTCTAGATCTAGCTTCAGACAGAACRGGTCCTGTGACGCTCATGTGCTGTAAATGTATCCTGACAAGAACCAGCATTTAATATATRAACTGGTGACATCTCTGCTTCATGTCAGGTAGCAGCGAACCAGTTTATCTCAGTGCCATTCTGAAGCTCAGCTATCTCCAAAACCATAGATTACGTGAAGAAGGTTGTATAATTTTCCTCATTATCTAGATTTACCTATCTCCCTAGCAAACCAATCTCCAAACTCACAGGCTGAGCATTAGCAGTACATTGAAACACAATTGCTATTCCTCAGAGAATACTTGGACTCAAGAAAATGGACTAACTAGATTTAGATGCTTAGATACAAACTCAATTATGTTTCTTAGTAAAAATGTGTAGCAAAAACTACACTMCACAGGACATACTAGAAAGGGTGAACTTCAGAGTTTGATCACGTCCTTCATTGTGTAATCTTTCTTGCTTGGGACAATTGTTTCTTGGTTGTGCCTTCTCTGCGCTGTCCCTTTCCTGGAATCTCACWCTGATTTTCTTGTCTGGGAACAGAATTGCATATTGCAGAAATAAAAAGGGAGTTCCTTTCTGTTTACTGRCCATAAAGAAAATTGCATGTGGTATATCCCTGTCCTTTCAAGCATGTTTCTACACGCTGCTCATTGACGAGCCCTACTACTTGCCTCCTTTCTTGCAGGCTTTGTTGGAAATCTGTGTCATGTAAAGGCAGTTGGTTCCCCTGGGTGGCCTCTGTACCTCATCAAGAGGCACGAGGTGAGGGAAATTCCTAATGTTGTCTGCAGATGAGATCTGGCATATGGTTTCAGAAAGAAACAGAGCAGTATATTACACATCAGGAGGTCAATCATAGGAATTAGTTGTCTGTTGTGCATCACTTGCAGCCTTGGTTTAAGACACATGTAAAAGGTAAATTCTTTTTAAAATTGTAAAAAGCCCTRCCCTGAAAGAATTTTATCTTCATTGTATTAGAAATGAAGGTCTCCTTTTCAGGTTACTGTGCAGTCCAGACCAATACAAATGGCAGTGTCTTCCAGACACCTATCAGAGACACGGGTTGTAGATGGGAGAAGACAAATAGCTGGCCTACAACTTGATCAACTGGATTGTCAGGAACTCAAGGTAAGGTCATACCACACTGAAGTCAGATGGTGACTGAAGGAGTAAGTTATTTCCCTGTCATCTTTCTCCATCTGCAAAATTTATATTTATATTTAAATATTTATATATTAATATTTATCCCTTGATGAAAAGCCATAATTTGTATTTTGTTTAACCATTCACCAAGTTCCAGAGCTGGTATGAAACAGGGGTGGCAAGGTGACAGGAAAGTGCAGTCTGGGTGCAGACTGCTGCATGGCTTGTTCTTTTGGCAGTGTTCTTGGAGCTGCAGTGCCTGAGATGCATCATGGCAGGAGTGCTTGAAGACAGTGCATCATGTGAATGGACAGGTTTGCCAGAGAGTCATCTTCTTTCCAATGTGGTCAATAATCCCCTAGCCAGGAAGGCTTGTGAGGCTGCTTGTGGAAGGGCTGTCTCTTATCAGAATGATACAGAGCAGCATAAGATTCAAGGGGAAGCTCTAAAGCCATCTGTGGAAGCAAAGCATCTGTATAAAAGCAGGGAATGTACCTGACCTGCTGATATCTGTTACAGTGCTTGAGGCAGCTGTCTCAAAAATTACCCCCTGCTGAACTAAGATCTCACAGCCTTGCTGAAAATACTGGGTGCACTCAGTGCAACTTTYCTGTGAAGGTCACCAGTATTACTTTGCCTCTCACACTGAGCTCTTCTCAGTTGGACTAGGAAAATGTGACCAAAGGTTTTCTTCATGGAATGAGTTTCYTTTTTCTCTAAATCACAGAAATCTTCCTTGAGGACTGACTGAAGGAAGAAGAAAAAAAGAAAAAGAGGGCATTTTTTGGAGAAGAATTTTCACTGGAGAAGAATGAATACAAGTCAAGCCAACATCAGCTCCAAACATTCTCTGCATTTTGTTGGGATGTAGCAAAATGCATAGACCTTTGGTCCTCACAGTTGTTAAAACTATTAATATTTATCTTGAAATACATTTATGTTCCTGCTCAGTCACTCTTGATGCTTCCTTCTTTGTTTTGTTTCTGTAAGTACTTCCACAGTTACTMATTAATGACAAGGGAAAATCTTTTGCACTGAGTAAGGAGAAAGAGTTGAGGAAATGCAAGGCACTTTAATTTTAAGTGTCTACATGACCTTAGTGAAATCTTAATGACTTTAACCACCAGAATACAATCACAAACATGAAGTGGCTAAAACTGAGCTTCTTCAAAGACCCCCAGCTCTCAGATCCATCCTTATTTTAAATAAAACAGGGTTTTCCAGGCTATGCAGGAACCACTGTACACCTGCTACTCTGCTGCTACTCATCACCTTTGAAACCTAAACGTAGGAGGGAATCTGCTTGCTTTAGAGACGTCTCTCTGCAGAGCCCAGTGCAAGGGATGCCGCAAAAAGAACCAAATGACAAAGGTCTAGGAGGCAGTAGGAAAGATAGGACTGCTATTTCTGTGGACAGAACCCACAGATACTTTATTTCTGCTCTGAAAATGATCCTTCATGTAACTGTCCAAAACGGGAGCAAAGCAGATATTTCAGAACACTTCTGAATTATGCCAATGACAACAGGACAGTTACGAGTGTTGAAATATTCAGTATGGATGCTGAATGCAATATAAATATTGAAAACTCTTCCTCTGCTGAGGGTTAGTTTCAGAACAAGAGAAAATTCAGTGCACAAAAGAAGTCACACTTCAGTGCATAAAGCAAATCAACCACTATGAAGTAAAAATGAAGCGAGTTTTCTTCCCGTCAATGTGGAAAAAATCCATTTAAAAATAGACTTTTTAAATATACAGCAGCAATATCAAAAATAAGCAAATTCAAACTGATTTCTTAAGTACACAATAAAGAGTGTCAAAGCATGTGACGCAGAAAATGTTTTCTGCTAATACGTGCTTTCTTGAGGTAGATAACCTAGGGAGCAGTACTGACACATAGTTTAATGGATTTTTATGATCGTCTCCACCCTCTGGTCAATATATTCTTCTGTTTCACTGTAGGTTGTCCTCATTTTCCTCTTGCTGAGTGAAGCTGGTGGATTACTATGCAGAGTCTACCACGCAGCGTTTCCTCTGTCTTCTAGCATGGGGACTCTTTGGCACTTACAATGCATTTTAATTTTATTGTACATTTCAGTGCGGGATATCACAGGGTAAGTAGCACAATACTGAATGTACTTTAATTCCAGAAGCTTAGCTAATGTTAAAGGTAATTATTTTTTCTTTTATAGATGTGGGCTACTGTACAATTGAACCACATAATTTTTAGAACAGAGGAATAATGTAGTTTGGTTGTCACTTAATTTTGCACTGGCTTCTGGCTATGAGAGAAATCTGCAACAAATGTGGATTTCTARTGGCACATCTGAAAGGGAGAGATCTGGCCAAAATATCTACTATGGTTATCAAGTATTTTTTGATTCTGTGATTATAAATAAAATAGCATATGTTCCTCTGGACTTGTGTGTAACTTATCTTCCTTTGGTCTGGTGTACAACAGTTTAAAGRAAGAACTGAGTAGAGCCTAAATGGCAACACTGTCACAGGTTGCTGTTTCTCATGGAGGAAAAGATGCAAGGAAAAAATTGTAAAGAAAATTTCCTTGCTTCTCTCTGCTCCTTAGCTTTTGCTCAATCTGCTTTCCGGTTGATTTGTGTGTGTTATTGGTGAAATATATTTTGTTTGTGCCATATTCACTCTTAAGCCCCCTGGTTTCTGTGAATATCATTGCTTAGATTTTGAGGGGTAGTGCGGGTGATCTCAGTGATGCCTTCACTTAAAAGGACAGTACAAGACAGCAAGGAGAATTAGGAGGGAAGCAGCAGAGACTGGAGCTGAACCCTGACTCCAGGAACTGTGGGCCACCACCGGAGTGTGTTAGGAAAGCACCCAAAAGCAGTGCACCCATGCTGTGTATTCCGGTGATACCACAGTCTAGTGTCAGCTAATCTCTGGAGCTATAGCAATTCCTGCTATACGTGCATCACTTTCGGGGTAAATGAGAGGAAGATCTGAATGAGAGGGCAACTTGGAGTTGTGAGGGATTTGTGGGAAATACAAGTGTTCCAACAAATGCCTATTAGACAAGTGGTAGAGCATTTTACTGGCACTTGCCTACTCTGCTTTGCARCAATGGGGGTTACAGTGCCACAGATAGCAACACTTCACTATTGTACTGGCATTATTTTGGGCTGAGCTGCACCCATCCATCCATCCTATAGTTCCCATAGGAAATTATACCCTGTTCTGCTGGTCTAGGAGAGCTGTTGTTCTTTCAGTTCAATGGGATACAGAGCAGAGGATCCTTTCACACTTAGCAGGAGTGAAGATATCCAATTGTTTGTCTCATTCTTAAAGTTTTGTCATGAAGAAGTAAGGACAGACTGGAAGACAGAGCAGGAGACACGAAGCCCTGAGTTTGGGCACTGATTCAGTAGGAATACCCAAAGGCATATGTTAAAGTCTCATTTGTGTTCACAGTCTATGTCTCCATTATATACATGTCATTAAAAAAAAAAAACTTGTGCATTTTTTGAGCCACTAAATCCCCAGGGGCCTCACTATGCAATATTTTATTGGCAGGATCAAGCAAAGACCAATTAGTGGCTTGGGAAGATGGGAGCCTGAAACAGGTAAGTGTGTGTCGTATAGAGCTGCTCATGTCCCGGGCAGGTCCTGAGCATAGGAGTTCCTCTTACTTAGGTTAATGTGTTGTGCTTYAGCTTACCTCACCAGATGTGATTTCAACAACAATTCAAGACCATTCTGTGACTGGACCCAACCGTGCAATGTGAACCAGGGATTGTGGATCCGAACCAAGCATGACACTCCGACTGACGGAACGGGTCCCAGTGCAGACTATCCCGATGGAAGTAAGTGCTCAGCTGAGGCTGATTTCTTTTCAGAAGGCAGCATTATAAGCCTGTTTGCTTGCTTGTTTGTTTGTTTAATGAGATTCRTGAAGCCCTTGATATATGTGAGTTTGCTTTCCTACTAGCATCTGACTTGGACATTTTCACCATGTAAATCATAAGAATAAAACTAGGGTGCCCTGTTAAAGACTGGAAGTCTGTACCAGTGCAGGGAAGCTGAAGAATGCTTAATATTTTGCAGAGAATTCAGTGATGTGCGACAGCTTGTTATTAAAGAGAGTTTTTTTGGCCAAATTACCCTGATATCAATTAATGGCAATAAGCATAATCATTTCTGACACTGACAGTAGATAACATGCTCACTGGCAAAGAATGTTAAAAGATCAAGTCTGAAATTAAAAGAAAAAATCTTTAAAAAGCTGTTCCTCAGCTACATGTGATTGAAAAAACTGATGTCTAATATGACTATATCATCAAAAGAATGGTTAAAAGGGCTCTATCCATATTTGTCTGAGCCACTAGGTCTGCACTAACATCCTTCCATTAATGGGGGATCAGTTGGCAGTCATATTGCTTTTTGCAATTATCCCCTGATTGGAAAGAAGCAACTGTCAGGCTCAGTAATTAGTTGGAACTTCTGTTAAAGTATTTTCTGTGTTTTCGCTTGTAAAAAATTAAATTCTTTGTTGAAGAGAAATGAAATGTTTTCAAGTTGGATTCATGCAAATAAAAATAGTTTACTTGTTGAATGGACACAGAACATTTAACATCAAATTACTTACATTTCCCTATGCCCAATAAAAGTCTTAAAATATTAAGCTGGATTTTGGATAGTATGTAGGAACTATGGTGTCATTAATTTCTTTTTGATTCCCTTACGTAGTGGAGAGAGAATTAAATTTAACTACATTGCAGGAATTTAACTTTGGTCTTAGCCTAGAGAATTTGTGGGAACACAAAGATTTTCAGACCTAGTAAAGATATTCTTGTTTTTTCTTGTAGGAATTGATTTATCTCATATTGAATCAATCCAAAACATATTACAGATAATTTCCTCATTGTCAAAGGAAATATTCTGATTTTCTAAATTTTGGAAAGTTTCATTCCTTTTGATAACATCAAATCAAGTATTTTGGTGGGCCRAATTATTTCTACACATTTCATTATGCTGTAAATTCTGTATTCTTGCTATCTCTTCCATTTTGAGATGAAAACAAATATAGAAGAGCTATTTTTTTTCCTTTGGCCAGGAATTTACTCATTTTGTGACCAAAATCTTTTTTAAAAAATGTACACAGGTAGTACAGTAGATTGCATTAGTTTTCTTTGAGAAAAGAGGAAAGTGAATATGCAACTAAGGAGACTGTAGCAGGAGGTTCTGCCTCTTGGAAGAGGCCTATAGCTTTGTTTGTGAGCCCAAAATAACTGCTTTTGTAAGATCAGATGTGCTTGCTCTGCGGTTCATGTTCTACTTGGAATAACTACGTGGTGCTAACCACCAAATTACAAACATATTATTTGTACTGTTTTTCTTCCAGAGGTTTACTTCTGAAGACACTTTTGATTTCTTCCAGAGTTGGGTTGTACTTCAGGTTTAAATGACATTTAGCAGGCTTCAAAGATTCAGCAATACTTTTATTCTTTTCACTCTGCAGATGGCTATTTCATCTACCAAGAAGCAAGTAATCTGATCCCATTTGACACCAACAGACTTGAGAGCCCAGATATTACGGTATCTGAAAATATATGCATAGACTTCTGGTACTACATGTTTGGGTCAGAGGAGCTGAATGAGCTGAGAGTGCTTATCCAAGACACAGCAGGGGAATTTGTCGTTTGGAGTCGGAAGGGAAATCAGAGTTCCTCGTGGATATACGGGGCTGTTACTCATACTTTTTCAACACAGAGAAGAAT